GCTATCGCCGTAAGGATCGATGTCTCAAGACTCCTATAGAGGCTTTTTCATTCTGCCCGGCCGACGGCGATTGATTTCACAACCGTGGCGGGTTTTTGGTTTGAATTGGAAAGGTAGGTGAATATGATTGTTTCGCCTCCTTTTCAATTCAGCGGTCTCCGGCATATCCGTAGGTACAAGATTATGACTTCTATGAATATACGGGGTGTTCTGAAATCCTGAACCTCGCTGGAAGGGTGGAATACGACATTTTACTGCGGCGTCTTTGAAAATACTCAGGTGGCATGACATAACATTCCCATTATTTGATAAGCTTTAGATTATTCAGTTAATGTTGAAATTATTTGTCTTTGCGGAAAACACTATTTAAAGAATATGGGGCCCTTAAAATCACCCAAATAATCGTCTGTTGAATTTATTTTACATACTTAATTAACAACCCTATATATTGATCAGTTCATGAAGAAACTAATATCCATTTGCTCTTGAGTTTTGCAACTTAAGGAGGAGCCAATTTCTTATTATTGAGATATATTAGTTTTGCAGAACAAAATCAAATTCTGTGAATTGTTCTTGAATTATTTATCGATTTGTTTTTACTTAATGCCTAATTAATTGCCTATTTATCTTTATGGCAAATACTTATAATCGAATTACAGATGAAAAAATGCAAATGGTAAGACGAAAAAAATATAGATATTTACCTGAATAATTACCGCCCATTTCACAGAAAAATAAATTATCAAACAAAAAGTTCAGACTTGTAGTCCGCCAAGTAATAAACTTGAAGGGGTAACGGCCACAGCGCAATAAAGTGTGAATGAGGTTAGGTGGCGAGAAATTTAAATAAACGTTTTGATACACAAATTATATTGGTCATTAGAAATGGATTACATTCAACTTGTAATTCAATTCTGTTGCAATGAATAATATTACAGTAGACCTACCTACTTACCTTGCTAATTCATCCCACATGGGACTTTGAGCATGGTCGGAAAACAAAAAAGATTGGAATATCATAGGAACACTTTTATTTATCTGTAACATCACAATACAGTACAGTATGTACATATGTACATACAACTTCAATTTTCAACTGGAAATACTGTACTGTCTGAAATATTGTTCCATGTTAAAACAATAACAAAACGTGAAAGAAACAATGTGAGTGATCAGTCATGTCAAGACCTGAAACTAGCGGGAGCCTGCAGGATGTTGGATCATTGAAGGTCAGATTAACGAAATTCTACTGTATTTGGAACTACATATAAAATAAAATGGGAAATTTTCAAATGTTCAAATGTATGTTTTTTGTATATATTTTTTTATTTATGAAATATCATAAACTTTCAATACAAGAAGCACAAAATACAGCAGTACATATAACAATCTTATGCATTTTAATAAATTAAGACATTTTTAATATCATTTTTCATTTTAAAACTAACATTTTAATAATTTCAGTATATTTATTAGAATATTTTTGTCTGCATTAACAGGGTTCGTAGCGGCCGGGAAAACCGGGAATACCGGGAAAAGTCAGGGAATTCGTTATTCTTCATAAAAAACAGGGAATAGTCAGGGAATTTTAAAAATATTCATGAAAGTCAGGGAATTTGATGTTTGCAACTGGAAATTTTGTGAAAGCCGGTCCTGGGTTCTTGAAAGAGAAAAATATTTGTGGTTTTGAAACCTTTATAAGAGGTTCTTAGAGTATAAAAAGATTATGGGCTCCAGTTGAGAAAAAATTTAATGCATAAACACCAATTAGTATGTAAAAATGAACTACAAGTGACCTGGATTTTATTTTGAAAGTCAGGGAAAACCTGGAAAAGTCAGGGAATTCATTCTTACTTTTGAACTATGAACCCTGATTTAATATCCTATCCTATCATAATATAATACTACATACAATTGTAATTATACTTTCCTAATTTTTTCTTTTTAAACTCTTACGTCATATAAGGAACATTTGTATTCACAGAAGTGCATCATAGTAGCACAGCTTAAAGAATAAAAGCTGTGATAGTAGTATCCTACTTATGCATGTAACTAAATCATATTTAAATTTTATTTTATGATGTGCTGAAAATAGCGGGAGAAGGTATAGGACCACCTGTATAATATAAATATGATACTTATTTGCAAATTAAGGTATTTAATTTGTAGAATTAATTATGTAAAATATAATTTATTTCAGTATTCAACATAAACAGAGTGGGAATAGTTATATACCAACATTCCCTCTACTAATTTTGGAGACAATATCAAACAGTGATGTCTTTCTATATCCATCACTCTTGCCCAAGATACCGTTTAAACCAAATACACTATTTCCCAGACACACTACTTTCACTGATTCTGAAGATCAGTAAGTATATAAGATGCCAATCTTTCATGTTTTTACATAACAAACATTTTACAGATTAATTGCTTTAGGTTGGGAGCAGTTTGAGTCATTACTTAAAAAAGATCGGAAGAATCTTACTAAATCTAACGATGTTAGATTAAAAGTTATTTCTTCCTATATACAAGAATATATTATGCCTCAAAAAGATATGTATAAAATATATAATCATATCCTTTTTTATAAACATCCCCGATGTCGAAATAATCCCTTAAAATATTACTACCAGTATAGGAAAGCACCACCAGTAGTTCATTTTGTTTCTCCTTTACATGAGCTACAAGTTCTGCCTCCTTGTAAAAGATTGGCTAATCAACTACCTTATCAATGGAAAGTGTTCAATTATCCAAATGTGGTAAGTAAATTAATTGGATTTGTATATGTTCTCACCTCACATCACCTCAGTTCACTCGTATGTTGCCTACTATGTATTTAAAAAATATTCATACAGGGTGCTCTGATTTATACTGACATACCAAGTATTTTTTTGTGACTCACCGTTATTATTACACATTAATAGGTTTCACGTATATGACATCTATTCCTAGTAGTGGTGTTTACACATTCGCCTACCAAATATTTGTCTGTTTAATTCAACAGTCTAGCTTAGAGGTGGTGTTTACACTGTCTCGGTCTCCCACATACTAGATTTGCAGTAGGACCTGATTGTGCCTGGCTTGCTTTTTCTGGAGTTATAGTGGTTCCATGGATTGTAATCATTTTTAGAAAGAAAAAAAAAAATTCTACTTGAATTAAACTTCTTACCAAAACATAAGAAACAACCCAATGTTAAATAATACCAGAAAATACATAAATAAAATATTTAGGTGCCAAATTGAGTTAACGATTTGTTTAATCGGAATCTAATGTCACTATGTTATTTATCATTTCTGAAATACTGGGTGTTAAAACTAATTAAAAGATATGGGTTTAAAGAAGCAGTAGAGGGAAACTACTTTTTTATTTAATTGACCTTTTCTGCCGGACTAAAAAGGAAAAAAAATTAAATAAATAATCTCTTGCACCAAAAAAATAAAATAAAATCAAACAAACTTAAAACTTAAAATTTAAAAAAAAAACAACTCAGTAGCAGTAATTCAGATGGGATTATTACTGAGAGTGCTTCTTGGTATCTCCGGTACTGGTTGTTATAGTTGTAGACAGGGTGTTAGAAGTTTGACTGCCTTAATTTTAACAGACGGTAGAATACATTAAAATAAACAAAAAACCTTATATGACATGGGTCCTAACCTCGACCATTTCCGAAAAAAATATCAAAATTTCCAACTTGATGTACAAAAGTTCGATTAATTAAGGAATATTGACATAACTGCGTGCATAGAATACCATAAAATACATTGTTTAGCACTTTTTTGAACTTCTTTATGCTTCATTCTAAAAAATAATTATCATAATCAAATTAAAAATTCGATAAAATTTGTATCGAACAATGTGACAACGGCGCGGCGATTTATTAACAGGAGGTACTAAGGTGTCCAGCAACCACCAATACGCAATTCAGTTGGTATCTACATTCAACCATGTCGGAGTGTTTTTTGCGTACCACTATTTCGTTTTCTTTCCAGCGAGAGCGCGAAAATTGGATTCGAAGGTGTCGTGCGTGCATTGAAAATGGTGGTGGACGTTTTGAGCATATGTTGTAGTTTGTTTTGTACTTGTGCTTTAAAAATGACTGAATTTGGCTTTTTGGTAAGTATCTAGATTATTTTTAATACGTATGATTATTTGGACGACGTGAAGCTTTGAGTACTTTATTAACATATTTTTCAAATACGTTATTTGATTAAAAGTTAAGTTCCAGTTTTAAGAAATTCATAATTACTAAAATTTGAGCTAAAATTTAAGCACAACACTATCTTCGTACTACAAAATCGATACATTTTATTTTATTTATTTAAAAACTGGAAAACAATTGTCTTGAAATTTACTAAATGTTTAACAATAATAGCTTTTACATTTTTTCCGTAGGACAAGTCTGCCGCGTGTACACGTGTGTGCATCAGCAGGTTAAGCACTGTTGTCACGTGATGAAACTTCCCATTATTAATACTTGCTGTATTTTGAAAACTGTTAATCTTACGCCCCTGTAATATACAACTTTTTTGTTCATTTATGATTACTCCATCTAATGCTGAAGTAATAGCAGTCAAACTTCTTACACCTTGTATATATACAGGGTGTTGCATCACGAGAGGGACATAGCTTAATGGGAGATAGAGGACATCTAGGGTAACTAGGATCGCCTATAGAAATAGATCCTTAGCCATTCTTTATTGAGATACAGGGTGATTTATGATTTTTGGTCATGATGTCATAACTTTGGTAGGGAATGGAATAATGGGTTCATATTTGGTAGGGTTAATGCACTCACGATACTTCATGTATGCATGTATGACAGCAAAAAAAATCCAGGTCTAGACTGCAAAAATTGTTAATTTTTTGTGCAAGTCTAGAAAATAACACTCTGTATGTCTTTTTTTGAAATTCCGATACGATATTTGGAAAGAGTATAAAAAAGTGATCTTAAAGACTTGTTTATTTTTTTTGTTACACTTTCGTGATTATTTAAATAAGCTATTGAATATACGAGACTACGGCTTCTAAAACTAAATTACGTAAAGGACACATGATAAAAATGGTTTCGCAACTAAAATAAGCGAAGGCTTAATTCGGGGTAGATGTTATAAATAAGCAAGCATATTTTAAACCTCATTTTCTTTAAATAATATGTATTCCAGGACCGGACTGCAAAATTTTTAATTTTTTTTGTAACTCTAGAAAACATCGCCCCGTATGTATTATTTTGGTATTCTCATACGATTATCGAAAAGAATATAAAAAAGTAATCTCAGCGACATGTCTCTTTTTCTTGTTACACTTTAATGATTACTTAAATACGCTATTCAATGTACGGTAACAAGGCTTTTAAAATGAAATTTCGAGTAAGTAAAAGATACATGATAAAAATAGTAGTTTATTTCTTTTAGTAAATAGGATTTCTAAAAAATAGAAATTAAAAGAGCAGGTAAGAACAAAAACTATTTAATAAAACACAAACAAATAACAATAAAACACATAGAAAAACATAGATGTCTAAATGTACTTTACAATGGCAAATTAATTTTATAGCAAATTTTCAAAGTGGCCTCCCTCAACTTCGATACATTTTCTTATTCGTTTACCCAAGTTTTCAATTGCTCGACGTATCATTACTGAATTATTTCGTATTTCATCGCAAGCTGTAATGATACAATCGATCAATTGTTCCCTATTATTGACTTCGACCTTATAAACTTCTGCTTTCAAGTGACCCCATAAAAAATAGTCGGAAGGATACAATCCGGAGATCTCGTTGGCCATTCGTATGGACCGCCAGGACCAATCTATCTGTTTGGATATTCATGATCCAAGTGCTAAAATGCGGTGGAGCTCCATCGAGTTGAAAGAGCATACCTCTAATATGGACATTTTCTAAGAGATCGGGTAGGATTGTTTGAAGAAAGTTTAAATAAACGTTACCACCTAATCTCTCATCAAAGAAATATGGCCCTATTAAATGCCCATTTACAAGCCCGATCCAAACGTTTACAAAAAACCTGTGTTGTGAATGATATTGGCGTTTTGCATGTGGGTTTTGTTGTGCCCATTCATGGTCGTTCCTTGAGTTATTTATTCCATCTATTGTAAATTGCGCTTCATCTGTAAATAAGGTTCTGTAAATGACCGGACGGTGGTTAGATAACCAATGCGAGAAAGCCAACCGGTGGATGTTTTCACCTGGTTCAAGACGCTGTACCTGCTGGATGTGGTATGGATAATAACGTTCCCTTTTCAATGTTCTCCATATGTTCCAAGGAGGAATATTAATGGCAGAACTAATTCTTCTTGTGCTAGTTTTTGGATTTTGTTGAATTAAATTTAAAATATTGTTCTGTTCTTGAGCATCTTGATGTAAATTACGCTCCAAATTTTTTGAAGTTGGAAATCTCCCGTGTTGTTTTGAGTACTGGAAGACTTTACTAAAAGTTTTATAATTAGGATGCCGATGATCAGGAAAACGTTGCTGATATTCCCTTTGTGCTGCCCTACTATTCCCATTGTAAAACCCTTAGATGAATACTATGTCAGCATATTCTTCGTTTGACAATAATTGCGGCATGTTTAAATTACAAAATTTAAAGTATTAAATGCAAGTTAATGAATACACAATAACACCAGTAAACAGTTTGTTGTCAAACAATGCACTATTTAATTATCTGTCACTTTGAGTAGGCCTACTATAATTAATTTACATCAAGCTGTAGAAGAATAATATTTTAGATCCAATTCAACAAAATGCAAGGTTTAACATAAGTTCGACTATTAATATTTCTCAATGGTATGTATGGAAAACATTGAAAAGGAAACAGTATTATTCATACCACATTCACTCATTTCTTTTTTGCGTTGATTACGGGTAAATAAATAACTCAAGAAACGACTATAAATGAGCACAGCAATACCCATCTCTAAACGCTTATGTAATACACAGTACAGATTTACTGTAAATGTTTGGGCAGATCTACATGAATGGCAATCGAAATCTATGGATTATAATTTATTTTTTGTCATGTGTTTTTATCATGTGTATTTAAATAATAATCATCAAAGTGTAACAAGAAAAAGAGACATGTCGCTGAGATTACTTTTTTATGTTCTTTTCGATAATCATATGTAATACCAAAAAATACATACAAGGCGATGTTTTCTAGAGTTACAAAAAAAATTTAAAATTTTGCAGTCCGGACCTGGAATACATATTATTTAAAGAAAACGAGGTTTAAAATATGCATGCTTATTTATAACATCTACCCTCAATAATTAAGCCTTCGCTAATTTTAGTTGCAAAATCATTTTTATCATATGCCCTTTACATAATTTAGTTTTAGAAGCCGTAGTCTCGTATATTCAATAGCTTATTTAAATAACCACGAGTGTAACAAAAAAAAAAAGAAACACGTCTTTAAGATCACTTTTTTATGCTCTTTCCGAATATCGTATCGGAATTTCAAAAAAAGACATACAGAGTGTTGTTTTCTAGACTTGCACAAAAAATTAACAATTTTTGCAGTCCGGACCTGGATTTTTTTTGCTATTATACATGCATACATGAAGTATCGTGAGTGCATTAACCCTACCAAATATGAACCTATTATTCCATTCCCTACCAAAGTTATGACATAAAGCAGTTTTGACCAAAAATGATAAATCACCCTGTATGTCAATAAAGAATGGCCAAGGAGCTATTTCTATAGGCGATCCTAATTACCCTAGATGTCCTCTATCTCCCATAAA